CAGCAATAATGAGAAACGTTGGCTGACACTGATGAACCGTCTTCAAAGCTGGATGGCTTGACCCCTGTTGTGGGTGGAAGGTGGAAGAGCCCTTAGCTTGCATGGGGACTGGAATTTTTAGGTTCCAGCTTGTTCAAAAAGGGGCGACCTAATTAAGAGAGCACAAGTCATTACTTCCACTTTCCTTAGTGACCTCACTGGTTGACTAGAAGTAGAGTTTTCCACTTCGTGCAAAAAGGGGCAACTAAAGGATTTGGATTTATACCTTCCAATCCATCTCAGCATGAATCAACGTTTATCCTTTCCTTATCATCTTGTTTCTCAGTATTTTTTACTAAATATAATTATTTGAATGAGTATTTAACTTTAAAATGATTTTAACTAATGAATAAGTTAAACACACTGCTTTATGTAAGATTGTTTAGTGCATTTGCCTGTCTGTGTAACTTTTTCAGGCGCCACCAAACTAGGTCAGAGATCACGGAGACCTTGAGTGGAACTAAGGGCTGAGGACTGGATGCAGCTGTTTCTATTGTTATTTCTATGAGTAAATACTATCTAAAATGTCTAAAAGTAATTTAGCTGTTTGATTGATCTGTTTTGATTGCTAAGTTTCGACAACAGATTGTCTCTTGCGTCTATTGTGTCCCTGGTTTAGCGTTTTACAGGTCTGGAGTCAGCTCTAAACAGTCTAGTGGATGTCTGACGTTTATGCTTAAGATATTGTTCAGAATTGTACGCACAAACCTCAAGTGGAAATATTCCTAGTCTATCTGTGTTTTAATCAATCAGGTTAGAACACATATATGTATGACGCAGTTAATGACGTTATGTGAGAGTATAATTGTTATTGATTGGTGATTGTAAGCAGAGCGGCCTTGGAACTCATTGCAAGTGTTGAAGCTGGCTTCTGCTGATGAAACGGCAAACTGTCTTCAGTAAATTTTTCATTTTTAATTGCATATTTGACTCTGAGTCTTCTCTTGATCTGTCAGACTGGACATTCTTTGGGTTAAACCGTATTCCATCCCTACACTTTCCTAATGTTTGATAATTAATTAACAATGACCCATAGATTAAAAAAATATAACAATATCACTTCACATAACTGAATCTGCATAACTTTTTAAATACATAACTGGTGTAAAAATTTCAGCATTTAGGACAGCAAAACATGTCCTTCTCACAGCAGATGTGCATGCTGCATCCCTAAAGATCAGTCATTGCTTTAAAGGGATAGTTTACTCAAAACTGAAAATGCTGTAATTTCTCACAAACCTCACTTGTTTCCCTAATTGGTTTTTCTTCTGTTTAACACACAAAAAAAAATTATTTTGAAAAAAGATGAAAACCTGCAACCATTGCATTTGTTTTCCCTACTATGGGTGTTTCTTTTTTGTGTTCAATACAAGATAAACTCATAAAGGCTTGGAATCAATTAAGGGAGAGTATATTTTCTTTTTTGGGTGAACTGTCCCTTTAAGACCTTTGTTAGGGTGGTGGAAGAAGTTGCACAACTTTACGTTGAACAATATTAATTCTCTAAATGATGACATGAAAAATTAAAAGCTACTACAATAAGGTCACCAAGACTCAACCAGGGGCGGACTGGGACAAAAATTCAGCCCTGGCACTGTAGCCGGACCAGCCCACATGACCACACCAACACAGCCCCACCGACAGACACGCACATTTACTACTTATATTGGTGTACAGATAGTGAAATAATATAAGCAGTACCATATACGTAATAGATATTTAAACATTTAATGTATGTGACTGGAAGAAAAACAACCCGTTTATAACAAATTCATACATACAGTAAAACTAAATTAAAATAATTTAAAGTCCATGTGCTGTCTGTTTACCATTTGTCTGCTATTTATGATAGGAGTAACCTGTGAATGTGTATCACACACACACACCTTTACACACAAATGGACATGCAGCACTACATTCAGCATACTTTTATTCACAAATAAATATACTTGTCATTCAATGAAGTGTTGTTCTTTATTGCCACGGTCCATATACTATGTTGGCTTCTCCTTGTTTCTATGTTGACAGTAAACACATTGTCTGATTCTACATCTTCTCATCCATTTTAACTCTGTAACTCTGCAATTTTAATATGACTGTATGGCTGTCTGAGATTATACTTGTTCCTCACTCTTGCCTGACTCTTATTGTGTCCATGCTTTTTGCTGGTCTCTGCAGTCACTGTGTCATCATTATTTGAATCACTGCTTTTGCTAGGCTTGACTCATTCTAGTTTTTAATAAATATGTGCTTATGAAACAATTACAGGTGACCTAAAGAATAAATATTAATAATTATGGCCTATTCTACAGTTAAGTTCAAATGTAACTATGTAGACTTAACTACATTTTTTGTCATGTGTTCACCTCTACTGTAGAGTTAACTACTAACCCACAGTACAGTGTGTAATGTTTTTTTTTTTTTTCTACCTCTACCACACTCCTCCCTGTCTCTGCTGGGCCTACCGTAGCATCCTTTCTCACAGCACTGGTATTTGCAATACCCTAGTTAATAAACACAGTATAGGATGTAAAGATTGCAGCAAAATGTTTTCTTACTGACTGCTCTGAACATTTGAATACCAGGGTTTCTGCAGGTTTATTCAAATCAAAATTAAAACATTTCAAGACCCTTTTAAGACCATTATGAATAAATTTTTAGACTTATAAAAGATGATTATGTACTGTAACCTATGCATGTATTTAATGTATTAGTTTAAAGACTAGCTATGTATTCAGAGTTCACAACAAATGCATACAGTACTGTGGCTATAGCTTTGGGTTATTTTGCATGTTAGAATATATTCCTAGTAGCATATAGCAGTCTGTATACCAGAAATCACGTTATCTGCTGATAATGACATATTAAAATGTGCGGGAGTTCTACGCTAGACTGACAACCTTTTTTTGCGCTCCCTCTGAGCTTTTCGGCACCGCCTTTTCTTTTTACGGTACATCTCTGACAATTAGCTTGTATGGCACTTATTGTTTGTTTTACATTCTTGCTAGATTTTGATTACGTCCGCGTCACCTCAGATTGGGTCGGCCCCTCTCGAAACCAGCCGGCCGTCGCCGATTGGGTCAAATGCGCAAAATTACTATTATTATTATTATTATTATTATTATTATTATCATCATAATATCACATCTTGTAAGAGATAAAAGCTTGTAAAGGCATGTAAAAACAATACATATTTAAAAAAAAAAAAAAAAAAAAAAAAAACCTGACCGGCCCACATTTAAAAAAATGGTCCGGCCCTTCTGGCATTTGCCAGAATTGCCAGATGGCCAGTCCGCCCCTGGACTCAACGCATCTAGAAAACAAGTCATCTGACGTCCTGAATGCAAAAGCAAAAGTTGTTACATGTCCTGTATTAAAAGTTTACAGAAAGCAAAAAAAGTGCAGTCCATGGCATTCATCATCAGCTGGTGGAAATATATCTTTAGGGGCATTCTTGTCAGAGTTTTCAATGCCATAATGATTTTTTGAACCATGTAGGCAAACAGTAAAAGTCCTAATCATTGAAAAAACTACTAGTTTATGGGATGATTTTTGTGCCAATAACAATGAACGTAACTTTCCAAGAAACGATCAAAAATATCCCAGATAGCAAAATACACTTGGGCCAGTGCCGGCTAGATTGTCGCCTGCCGGAGACTTACCCCTCGTCCCGACTCCGGCTGCCGGACTCGGGCCGGATGCCTGTGGACTTACTGCCCGATTCCGGCCCGAATCAATCGGCCAGATGCGGCGGCCGAAATCGGACCGAGGGTAATGTGCGGGGGCCTGGGCCTGGGGCTGGCGCGACTCCGTATTTATACACCTTATAAAACCTTTTGGTATTACATTGGTACTTGATATATGGTATTACAACCATTTGAATTTATATAACAGCAAACGCAGGCTATAATGTAAACACAGTGTAAGCACTGCGTTTAACCTTTGAATAAAGTGCAAACTGCATACATATTCTATAACGAAAATAATCAGACAAATGACAAAATAAATAAATGTTAAACGTTTATTGATTGCAAGTAAAAAATAGTACTAAAATTTAATAAATAATTTTGTAGTGCACAAGAATATCAATATAAAAACAACAATAAAACAACACAAAGACACACAGAAAGATTTAAACAAAAAATCTAAAAATTACACACAAACACAGATGTTTTTAAAACAACCGTTTTCCCAATAGACTTGAATTTAAAACTTGTACAAACAGCAAAATTTTATATAAACCTGAATATAGAAACCAATTTAAGATATAGTAAGAAACATCTTAAAAATACCAATGACAATCCGTAAAATATACAAATATGTCAAAAGAACTGCAGAATTCTGAAGAAACATCTAAAAACATTTTTAATAATACATTAAATTAATAACAAACAAACAAATATATATATATATATATATATATATATATATATATATATATATAATTGCAGAAGTATAAAGTCAAACTTATTTTTAAATAAACTTGAACAGAATAAATTGCACAAACAGCAAGACATGAGTGAGATGATTATACATTTCATATATATACACGTCTTGTGCAATTTTATATTTATAATTTTATTTGTATTACGTTTATTGAAAATGTATCAAGATGTTTCTTCAGAATTTGGCGCACTCATACACATACATACATACATACATACCATACATATACACACACACACACACACACACACACACACACACATATATATATATATATATATATATATATATATATATATATATATATATATATATATATATATATATATATATATATATACATACTACATACATATACATATATATAAAAGAAAGAAACAAATTGCTCAAGTATCAGGGAACATCCCAATACACTTAAAATGTTGCTTAAAAAATTAAACAAAATAGTGATGTAGACATTTCACACATTAGCTTTCTCTTATTTCTTCGCAAGTTGTAGCTACCTTGTAATGCATTTTTCCACTTCTTTATCAGTGGCATGGTATGGACATTTGTCCTCACTCCATCTGTGATTAAAAGATAAACAGATAATTGAAGTGAACAAGTACTAATGTAAAAAAAAAAGAAAAATGCTTGATATCATAAAAGTAAAACCTAAATGGGACTGTATATAGATTTTTTGTTCCTCTGGTTATAATTCAAAGAAATACAGAGATGGAACGGCCCCTAATTATATTGAAATGTATATACAAAACCAACTTACTGACTACAACAGTCCTAAGGGGGAGTGCACGAAAGGCCACTTTTTAATTTGGCCCGCTCCAGTTAATTTGTTTAGCCAAGGAGTTAGCCAAAAGCTTTTCCAGGATACGCCAAACTGCTTAGTAGAAAACACCAATGATTCCAAAGTAGGCTACCTACGAAGCAAAAAAAACAATCAAAAAAACAAATAAACTTAAAATACTTTGAAATTAGCAAGAGCTTGAACTTACCAGTTTCTTTATTTGTTCGGGCTGCTCCTTTAGTTGATTTTCAAGCTTTTCCAAATCAAATTGGCCAAAGGAAGGTCAACTGTGTTTACATCTGGAATTTCATCACGTCTGTTTTGGTTTTGTGAGAATCAGGCCCAGCTGCTGCTTTATGACGTTGCATGATTTTAAAACTTCAGTCAGTCGTGCTAAAAAAGAAAAATAACAGATTAGTATAAATCAACCTGTAGCTTATTCTCATACAAATTCTGTACATACAACAGTGGGTTAGACACTGCTGATATTCTCTAGTTGATCTTTACTTTCTAGCTGCATTAAACCTTAACAAATTTAGTGATGTCTTCAATTCTTACAAAGACATCACGAGATGCAATAAGTTCTGTCTTGATCTCAAACTGCACTAGAACAAAGACTATAACTGTTCATAGGTGTACTGCAGGTGTGTCCAAACTTTTTGGGCCGAGGGCCAGATGCAAAAAAACAAACGTTGTCGCGGGCCAAATTTTACATACATCACACAGACACGTGTGTATATGTATATATATATATATATATATATATATATATAATTGGGGAAAAAATAAACGGGGGCTAATAATTTAGAGGGGCTAACAATTCTATATATATGCACATATATATATGTGTATGTATATTATATACATATTTATTTATATTTTTTTCCCCAATTTCTGTTTAACGGAGAGAAGATTTTTTCCACACATTTCTACACATATTAGTTTTAGTAACTCATCTCTAATAACTGATTTATTTTATCTTTGCCATGATGACAGTAAATAATATTTGACTAGATATTTTTAAGACATTTCTATACAGCTTAAAGTGACATTTAAATGCTTAACTAGGGTTATCAAGTTAATTAGTCAAGTTAAGGTAATTAGGCAAGTTATTTTATAACAATGGTTTGTTCTGAAGACTTAAGGGGCTAATAATTTTGACCTTAAAATGGTTCATAAAAAAATTTAAACCGCTTTTTATTCTAGCCGAAATAAAACAAAAGTCTTTCTCCAAAAGAAAAAATATTATCAGACATACTGTAAAAATGTCCTTGCTTGTTTAACATCATTTGGGAAATATTTAAAAAAGAAAAAGTAATCAAAGAGGGGCTAATAATCCAGACTTCAACTGTGTGTAGATAGATAGATAGATAGAACTGCTGCTTTATTGAATGCATGTAATAGCGACACCCGGTGGTTATTTATTGAATTACGTTCATTTTTGTATAGCAGATTCTATGAGTAGGGGGTAACTGCAGCCTGGCAAAAGGTTTTTCAATGGTCGAAAGTTTTTTCCAGTAGGGGCGCGGCAAAAGGTTTTTCATTGGTCAAAGGTTGTATTTCCGGTCAAATGCGTTGGCCAATTAGAATAACATATTACTTAAGCTGCTTGTTTAGCTTAAGGGTGGATCATTCTACTTTATGCTACTGGTGTTAAGAATAAAGAATGAATTAAATCACAAGTTTCATTAAAATAATTGGTAAATCAGCATTCTTAAGGATACAAATGCTTAAATATCATTAGACAAATGATGTTTTGGTTATTTTTACTGGCTATTATAAATGCACTACTTAGAAAAGCATTTTATTCAATACTATTTTAAATTGTGACTTAGTTGTGTCCCAACTGTGTCACTGAAATTATTGCCTAAAATAATTTAAATTAAAAAGATTTTGAAAAATACATTTTATGTCGGGTAAATATATATTGTTCAAATATCACAGATTTATAACAAAGTTAACTCATTAATAAACTTATGTTAAGTGATATTAATCAGTTTAATTAGAACACAGACACAAGTTCATTAAACATTTCAGTTTAATTATCAAAAAACAAATAAAACAATCTCTTAAAAAACATGCCTTCCACTGACTAAAAATTCATACATCCGTCAGTTCACGACAATCCATTAAGTACAAATCCATCCATTCATCGTGTAGTTGCAGTGCATAGAGCAGAAGCCATTAAACCCTTGTCTGAATGCTCTGTACATCCCTTTTCCTCCCATTGCCACAGTATCCACTGGTGTTTTTGTAGAGCCAACCACAGGATTCACATCTGGAGAGCTTGAACTCTACTATATATTTGACCAAGTAACAGTGTGAGGAATGCTCCATCCCCTTCATCATAAACATCTAAAAGAACCTTTAAGAACAGGTTTGATGGTAGCTGAATTAAAGACGAAATACACACACACACACAAAATAATAAATGACAAATGTAAAAATGAAAACTAATAAAATAAACTATAAAATAAATTGAAAAAATTAAATAAATTTAAATATACATCACTAAGACCTCCTCTTGGATCCATAGCTGAAGGGAAATGCATGTATACATATTTTGTAAATATAAAATGAAATGTGTATGTATATACACATACACATATATTTGATAATTACAAACACAAGCTGATTGTCAGGTTTTTAAGCATTTAAGAGCCTTTATGACACTTGTGCTATTTAAGTCCCATCATTTAGGATGACACTAAAGCACAACTATGATGGAATGTAATTCCATAACTGGGAAAGTATAATGTGTAAATTAATTAGGTTGTAAGTTTGATTAAATAAGTAGTAAATTTGATTGCACAGCAATTTCAGTGTCTTTAAACTGTAAGAATAAAAAACAAGCCTACAAGTGCAGCAATCCACAATAAATGGTATTGTGCTGCCATCTAGTGGAAATTTTTAGTTTAAAAAGTGATTTCTGCTAAATTGGTAGTTGTAAATTGAAAAGCAGTGTTTGAGACATTTTAAAAATCATAATGCTCACATACAGTTATATATATATATTCAATTCAATTCAGCTTTATTTGTACAGCGCTTTTACAATGTAGATTGTGTCAAAGCAGCTTCACATAAATGGTCATAGTAACTGGATCAGGGTAGTTTAGTTTTTAGTGTTTCAGTTCAGTTCAGTTTAGCTCAGTTCAGTGTGGTTTGAACTCATTACTGAGAGTCCAAACACTGAAGAGCAAATTCATCGATGAGTAGCTTTTCAGATCCTGAACCATGCAAGCCAGTGATGACAGCGGAGAGGGAAAAAAACTTTACAGATAGGAGGGTGAAGAAAAAAACCCTTGAGAGAACCAGACTCAGTTCGGCATGACCATTTTAATTTCTCCGCTGGCCAAAAGTCTTGTGCAGAGCTGCAGTCTCAGCAGTGGGCTGGAAGCTGGCCTCAGCGAAGACTCGTCTGTCCCTGGAGCATCACTGGAATCAGTCTCCTGCTCTCCACTCCCCTATGACCAACAGCGCAGCAGCAGCTCAGGATACGGCCTGGTCCCGTATATTAGAGATGCGCGGTTGGCGGTTATAGCCGCGGACTCCGCGGATAAACCGCGGATCGGGCGGATGACGTTACGAAAAAATAATATTTTAATTAAATTCGGGCGGGTGGCGGGCAGTTGCACTGTTTTTAATAGCTGGCGCACCAACGAAAAAGCCTAGGACTGACTTCACAGAATGGGAGGAGGAATCAGATACACTAATTCTGGATGAAGTACAGAAGTATACCTCTACAAACTTCCGTATAGACGGATCAGCAGAGGAAAATCTACTTTCCTTTTGGGAGAAATAAGGCCAGGCATTCCCACGACTACAGCATCTTTCCAAGAGAATTCTATGCATTTCAGCAACAAGTGCTGCGAGCGAGCGCTCCTTCAGTGCAGCAGGGCGCATTATAGTGGCTATGCAGGCACTCCCGTCTGAATCCTGACACAAATGCTATATTATTCCTGCATTGTGCCAAGAATAAAAATCAAACTAGACCTAAGGTCAGGCATATTAAACTAATTAGCCTATGTTATTTAGGCTACACATATGTTCAATATAAACTTTTGAGTTCGGTCAGCTGATAATTTTACGTTCATGTTGGTTTAGCCTATTCTATTCTAGACATGTTGGCCTCGCTTTTACGTTCCAAGGCTAAGGTTATTTTGCCAGAATTTCTTTGTCGCAACTTTAATGGCATAGTATTTCGTTATGCTTCAAGTTTGAGGGGGTCCTCATCTGTCTACCATTCAGAAATCACAGTTGCGTGTGGATGTTTGAGTCGAGTTTTATCATATGCATCTATAATAAAACATCACATTGTTGTTAACCTGCCGTAAAGAAAAGTTAAAATCCTGAAATTCTATCAAAGTTAATTTAAGGCTATAATACCTATAGTGTCAATAATCAGTACACTAAAGGTTGCACAAGATTTATTTGGAGATTCATGCAGAGTGACAGCCTTATGAATCTGAGACATAGATTTGTAAGATGGCTAAGCACATGCATTATTCTGTACCCATGAAGATTAACCTACCATTGTGAAAAATGTTTGATGATGATAGCCAATAACAATAAACCATTTCAGCTGTTTGTGAAGCAATTAGTAATGTAAAAGCTGAAAAGCTCAATCTATGTTGAAAATGTATCAGCATTACAGCTTATAATGGACTTTTAGCACACAACTATAACATGCCTATTCACGTTCAAAAGAGTGTGCCATTGACTTCTTTGGTCGTGATGTGCTGCAAAATGATCTCACTAACCTTTGTTAAACAAGAACAATAAGACTTAACCAACAAATATTGTTACCCATTCATTTAAATCAGAATTTATCACTGTCAATAACATAAAAAACAAATAAAAAAAACATCAAAATCTGCTTTAAGATATTCAGTTTTACATTAACTGACCATTACAGCTTGAACAAAAGATATAATTGATTCACATAGGCTAACACATATGAATTAAAGTGCATACTAATATATTTCTCTTGGATAATTTAAAGAGAATAGTAAATATTCGAGTTTCGATCATTTTTCGTGACTAACTGCATAAACAAGATAAACAATAATATTTTATTAATCCAAAACGATTTTTACGGTTTTTATTTACACATAATCACAGAATTAATACTGTTGAATAAGTATAGACCTGTACAATGATTTTTTCAACATCCACGGTTACTTCCCAACAAACACATTTACGTTGTAGCGATGTCCGCACAACGTTGTATTTTTTTAAAGGCAACGTTGCCGCTTACGTGCTCGCTAC